GCGGATCATGCAACGTGACAAGTAAAATTTGTATGTTTATGCAGGATATTTTAGAAGTCGGCCTACTGCCTACCTCCTAATAGCAATTTTACTAGTTGTATTAATCTACAACGAAAACCATCCAATCTTTCATAAAATGTTGACAACACACCATACGTCTCGGCTGTTTTCACCTCTACTGCCCACTCCATACAAACCTTCTCGGCTTCAACATGTGATCGCTTAAAATGCCCGCATATTTAACGCCAGTTTCAGTAGCATGCATCTTATCATGGCCTCTCTACCATAAAACTTGGCAAGAGATGTGGGTGGAAGTTGTGTTTTATATCCTGCACGGCAGTGAAAATATAAACCGAACCATTTCTGTCTCTGCACACGATTCAGGACGTGGCGAAGCTCAGCGAGAAAAGACGCTATTCTCATTACAAGTGACCATTGCTCACTACTCGAAGATGTCAGTAGCCGTACAACCACACATCATCTTATGATGCTATCATCAATATAAAATAGAATTTAATTTGAAGACAAAATTAATTGCAAATGGCAGTAAGTTCTAGAAAGTAGGCAATGGTACGCGCATCCAGTGTTTCACAGGGTACGTATTCCTATAGGTATACACAGAATATGTAGATATTTATAAATATATATACAGAGTGAGTCAGAAGTATGTTTACAAACTTCGTGTACGTGTTCCAGGATCAAAAATAAGAAAAAAATGTTCCGGCATCAGGGCGATTCATAGCCCTGATGACGGAAGCAGTATGCCCTCTGAAACTTTGGTAAACATCGACCAGACTACACAGCGCAACAACCCAGAAGACAGTAATCTTCATACTCATCGCTGTGAAAACCTCAAATCAAACATAAGAATAAGTCACTGTTTAGAAATTGTACCTAACGTCTCAACAGTAACTACTCACAACTTCATAGTAAATGAACTCATTTTTGTCAAGTTGCGTCTGTCCGTCCGCTCGTATCATCTCCTAAACTACACAGAGGTTTTCGGTTCTTTGACGTCACAATTGGATGTAGAATCTGGGCAGTTACCCGTGAGTGGTCACTGAAATTATATCTCGCCTGTATCTGGATTACAGAGCTGTGCTATGCCACTTAAACGCGCTTAATTAAATTATGAAGTGTCCACACTTCTCTGTTTACTGAGTACCATTAAACGATGTTCTAGAGTTCATGAAACACCGTTCCAGCCACTTCTAAAAATTATGCGATGCGCCTAAGACAAGAATATATAAATTTCTTGTGCATTACTTGTCTCCAAAACGTATAAAAAATGTCTTACCGCACAATTTCCTCTAGATACTTGCAGAATATTCAACATGGAAAATATATTTTAAAATCTACGTGTTAATTTCTAACACCAAACACAAAACTTTGACTTCTTAAAAATAACTTACTTTCGATACGTTTATAATTCAATTGTCTTCGTCAGGTTTGAAAACACTTTTATATCGGTAACCTAAAATAAAAATGCTTAATTAAACATGAAGCCACGTGCTTTGGCGGGAGTTGACGTCCAGACGTTTTCATATCGTATTTCGAGATGAAGTTACCGATTACGTACGCCATAGGAAGAGCATTACGAACATAATCGCTTGATAACTCGATGTTTGACTAAATTATATTAAAGAATTCAGTCCGTACCTCAAAGAAAACACAACTTCTACGTTATAGAGATCGACTGATTAATGCTGTTTAAGGAAATAATCCCTGTTTACGCTAAGTGTCATATAAATCTATATAAATACAAAATGCAGTGTTACTGGCTTTTAAAGCAATGGTGTAGTAACCACTGCTTTAAAAGGTTAAGCCAATCAGTCTAATATAATAACTTTAATTTTGGTTTGTGTGTCATCTTCTTGGATAGTTATGGAAGCCTGGATAGAAATGTTTAGTCATAAATCAACTTTACTTGGCAACATACAGCTTTTTTAACGTTCAGTGTGGTTCTTAAATTTTACCGGAAAGTCTGTACCAAAAAGATTTTAAAATTAGTGGGACGTTGCAAAACTTTGAATTTTAAATATTTAGGAACAAAGTAGACTGCAGTTACATAATTTTCGTCTATTATAGAATTAATGCTAACTTTTCACATAATTATATGTACTAGGTAAATAATTATCCCCTAAACGTATACCTTTAATTAACATGATGGTTCCTAAACTATTTTTATAATTGCATATATCAGTTTTTAATTTATATTTATATTAAAAATTCTCCCACCTGTTAGACCTCTTTGAAGAGAGGTTTAAAGTAGACTTTTAAGGCCTCTTTTGGATCTAAATAGTACGTATTGTCGTTTAGAATATTACATATTAATATGAAAATATTTTCTAAGAATTACAATTGTTTCAGTTGATGAATATTTGAAAGAATATAAAATAATTAAGAAATAAAATAGCGAGAGATGTTTCCTTACCTGTGATTGGTGACCGCTGTAGATTTCAGACGCGAAGTCTCAGAATGAAGTGAGGATTAGGCAGATTTTGTACGACGCGTGTCGACTAATGTTGGAATAATCGAAGTCTGAATTTGAAGAGATTTCAGGAGACTTTGGATCTGGGGAACCCGGCGCTTCGCTCTTTATAGTCGGGAGGCGTCGACAGCGCTGTAGGGGAGGGGGGGGGTGCGTGTAGAAAGTCGCGACCTATAACACACAGTAAAAGCATGGATGTATGAATCTTCCTATTGGTTCATATTTTGTTGGATATTTTATCAGTTACATACATCGAAACTTCGTATTGGTTGATACACGAGTAGGAGGTCGTGTCGAAATTTTTGCGTGTGAAATAAATTTTGAAAAGCACCCACGTGCAGTGACATTTTTGCGGTCTCCTAGGTGACGTATGTTGGATGAGGTCTGCACGGTTGGACCAGCCCTGCAGCGAAATCATTGCGGCTAGGACAGGCCTCGTACCTGGTCTCAAGAATGCTGCCTGGGGTTCTCAAGAGATGACCATCGTAGTTTCTGTATCAGCTTCGTAAAGAATGATTGATCTTTCTTCCGTCGTTTAATGACATTTTTTTTTGTGAGCAGTCTAATGGTAGAATATTTGTTAGAGACGAATTGTAAGATATCGTGACCTATTTTAAATTCGTTTGTGATCCGGGTCGCTCAGTGAAAATAGTGACTGACTACGCGCTGAACGACCGTGGTTTGATCCCCGACAGGGGCAGAGCATTTTTTTTTAGCCTCTGCTTCGAGACTGACTCTTGGACCCTAGACATTTCACTATCCATTGATTACCTGATTCGCTTTCTCCGGGGATAGAGTTGCTGGAGCGTGAAGCTTAAAACTTACATGAATATTCGGATGAGTTTCAGAAAGTAGAGTTGTACCTCCATCCGTCTTCATAGCACGGTGCTTTATTTTTAAGCCAACTGTACTTAAATGTATTAGAATATTAGCCCTCTGAAACAGAAGCTCGCCTAAAATATATTTAATAATTCAGTCCGTACCGCAAAGAAAACACCGCACTTTACCATTACGAAGATCAACTGATTGACGCTGTTTAAGGAAGTAATCGCTGTTTGCGGTGAGAATCATACGTAACACATAGGGTAAATACTAAATGAAGGGTTACTTGTTGTTAAAACAGATGGTACGTATAGTTACCACTGGGCTTCAGAGGGTTAAATGTTTTCGTACAGACGTCTGTGTCCTAGGTCTAATATTGAGTGGTAGATCTGATAGGTAGTCTGAAAAATAATACAAGGAACTAGTGTGAAAAATTCAGTGTCACATATAAAATATATCTCTCTCTTTCTCCTTCCTGACATCAGCCGAGGTTTTACTGGGAAATTCCTCTTTTATTGTTTTCCCAGATGAAAAATTCGACAATTGGAGGACACTCAGGCCTCCCTCACCCGTGGTCTGACGTGTTAGAAACCGCGCAGGAAGTCGATTATATTCAGCATAAAACTTAGTGTGGGATCCACACACTACTGTATCTAAAATTATTCGAATAGATTAAATTCTGAACTGCCTCAGGTAGATGTAGATCTACATCAGTACGTCTTACCTTGCCATAGAAATTGTAAGAATACGTCTGTGTACCTGCCATTGACAGCCACTCAATTTCGATACAGAATCAGTCTTTACGGATTTTATTTCATCCAAAATCATATCTTTTTTTCGTGTATTAGGTAAGCAAGTGTTAATGATGAAAGTAATTACTGTAATATGTTCGAATTCCTATGAATAGACCTAAATTCAGGCTTTTATAAGCTCAGTAACCGAGTTGTTATAAATTTGGAACATCATGCTCTACTATATTTTATTTAGTGTTCTGTCTGACGACAGGTCCATATGAACAGGATCCTTCCATCCTTTTCTCGGACTGGGACCTGTTCATATACGTTCTTTGCAGATGATCCAGAAGTGGTTTGCCATTGCCTTCTTCTGTGTGTGAATGGAGTAATTGTTGGGATGCCACGGAG